GTGGGGGGGGGGGGGGCATGCGAGACGGATAACCGCACTCGCAGAACCGGTAACGCGGGAGCGACCAATCCCCATGACACGTCATTCGCTCAAGAAAAGGTTGCTTCCAAAGAGCTTTTGCGTGCAGCAGCAGAAACTGCAGCAGTCGTTGTATCACTGCCTTCGTGCGTATGGAGGGGCGGGGCATGACTCACAACCCTTGCCAACGATGGCTGCGTGGTTGTAACCATCCCACCAACGTGCCACATTCGTTCCATTGAATTTTTTTTGTTGTAATGTTTTTTCGTGTTTCTATATGCCAAACGGATTAAAGAAGATTAACCGTGGTACATTGCCATATTGGACGCACTTCCTCGGATGAGGAGAAACTAGAAACTTGATCTGGCAACGAAAAGAGACACGAGCAATCCAACTTTTAGCACATGCACCTTGCTGCATGGGTGTACACGTGTGTAAACTTGGATTTTCATCATACGCTACAGCAGTACACAGCCAGAGTGAGGGGAAGCACCAGAAATACCGTGGTCTTCATCCACGCGGCGGCAGAAACGCAGACGACACATGCAGCGCGCGCATGAGAACGGCTATCCTCTCCGTACCGGTGCGATCCCGTTAACGTGGGTGTGTTGTTGTTACTAGCATCGACCGCGCTAACCGACTGACCAATGAAAATTCTGTGCGTGTGTTGGCATGCCAACAAAAAAGCGCGCGCATGCAGACACGATTCAGTCACCTGTTGCCGAGACGATTTGTCTGCAGCGTCATCCCCCGACGCACTCCCCTTCAACGCCGGGCCACCAGCCTCCCCCCCCTCCTCCTTTCCTCCATCCTCTCCTGTCTTGGAGCTGGCCGCTGTTCTCCCCCCCGCCGATTCCCCCCCCCCCGGCACCGCCGAAGGCGCCTCCTTACCCTTCTGGCTGTTGGAGACGACCGGGCTGCGCGTATCACCCGTCTTCTTCTCGTTGCTTCCGCCCGCATTCTCCGCAGGGGTGGTGTTGCCCGCACCGTTGTTGGTGCCGCCGCTCCTTTGCTGCTGCGTCGGCCCCCCTCTAGCGCTATTATCTCTGCCGCCACACGCCGCGTCGATGTCTGCACCCGTGCACTCCCGCTCGGCGGAGGGGAGCTCGTCCCCGCACAGGTCGTTCGACACCACGATCCTCGAGTTCAGCGTCTCGCAGAAGACCAGCCTGGTCTGCGTGCAAGTCTCGGGGGAGCACGCGTCCCAGTCGCCGTGGCGTCCCTGGACAGCGATGGCCACCTCCAACACTCGCGAGGGTAAGGGGATCGTGCGGTGCTTCTTGACCTTGCCGGCTCTGAGTTGCCGTGAGGGAGAGCTGCGCCCGCCGCGTAGCGAAGGCGGTTTCTCTGCCGCCGCTGCTGCCGCTGCTGCTGCAGGATCAGTAGTGCCGTGATGGTTTTGGCGGGACGGCTCGGCCGCTTGGTTGCGCGAGCTCTGCGGCGCCGGCGGCAACGCCGGCCATAGCGTGCCCCATGAAGGCCACGCTGAACAGCGAACAAGGTTAAGCAGCAGCAGTAGCAGCAGCAGGGTTAAGGTTAGCGCGAGGGCCGGGTCGGGGGGGCTGCGTTGAGAAGCACACGAGTGCCGTGAGGTCGTGTGTGGATGTGTGCGCAGCAGCAGTGTATTGCGGGGGGATACGAAAAGGTATGAGTGACAAATCTCTCCGCTTTGTTTCTCGACTTCTTCTTGGCAACAAGGGGATTATGTTGCCATTTTCTAACGCTGGACACCTCGAGAACAGCAGCGTATGCACCCTGGCAATGAGCGAGAACCGATACAGCAGAAGTAGTCCTACGCAGAACGCTACTACCTGTTGTGGCGCAGGCTAGAAACGACATTTGCCCCGCGCTGTAAAATCGGAAGGACACGCACGCGTGACCAGGATGCAAGCAGCCTGCATCGCCTGACGCCAGGATATATGAACGCGATGTATCCGCATCGCCGAGAGCACAAGGCCAGACGAGCCATGCTTGAAACCAACAGATAACCGGCCTATCCCCTCTTCCACGCCACGTCGACGTACCTGCTGCTTGTACCGGGGCGGCTAGCAGGGAGCACCCCGCCAATAGCCAGCCTCGTCTCCGCTTTAGTGATTGCCCGCGCTCCATCATCACCAGCACCACCCTGGATGGGCACCCTCACGGAGCAATACAGAGCAGCAGTTAGCGGCCGTCTGATCTATTTCCACAGCAAAGGCTTGGAGGCAGATCGCATTGAAAAAAAGCTACGTGTGCGCCTGTGCTTCTCTGCCGTGGGGTTGCCACGAGTTGGTGATGGTCGTCCGGGGTGCAGTGATGTGCCGAGCAAGCAGTTACGAATGTCTTGCCTGGGGGCCTGGGGGGGGCCTCCGGCGACACACGAAATGGTTGACTATACCGTGACTGATAAGGGTTCACGAGGCGTGTTTATTGGATGGAGGGAATAGGGGAGGCCACAAAAAAAAAATTGGCGGTTGGTTGGAGCCAGCTTCGCAAGAGAGCAAAACTGGGCAAGAAGCAAACGCTGCTTGCTCTGCATGGACCACGGCCGTGAAGTGCCTCGTGACGTCAATAACGGTTCTGTCCGGCAGGCAAACGGGGGCTGGTAGCGCAGCGAGGCGGAAGGCAGAAGAGACAGAGAGATGTCCGCTTATCCAAAGGCAACAGCGTGGACGTTTTCCCTCGATAGCCCTACTACTAACGACAACAAGAACAGCAGCAGCGGTGCACCCGCGCCCGCAGGACTCGCCGGTGGGCCGGGCGGGCGCCCTGGGCTCGCGGCAGGGACGAAACCTAGGCCCAGGAAGAAGGCTAGTCTCGAGGGCAGCAGCGGTGACAGCGGCAGCGACGGAGTGAGCGCAAGCATGGGAGCCATGTGCTCAAAATCCGGCGGCAATGTCGCGAACAAGGAAAACATGGGGCAGCTCCCGGACGAGATGATGTTACCCAACGGTGTCGACAGCACAATGGCAGGCAGCGGCGGCAGCGTGGATGCCCAGTCGAACAGCAGGGATCGTGGCTTGGAGGCATCGAAGGGGGCTACCGCAAGCTCCAACGGCCAAGTGGAGGACGACGGTGCCGCGGTGCTAGGAGCGGCGCTCGACTCAACGGCCTTCTTGTCCCCTGCTCCCGCGCATGGGGCTCAAGTTGCTGCTGCTGAGGGTACCAGCCCAGCCGGCAGCAATGACGTTGAACCTGGTGCCGCAGCAGTTGTCAATGGCATCGCTGGGCAAGACAAAGTAGTAAGCGACATGCAGCTTGAGGACAGGTCGGCGTGGGTGGCGCGTAACTTGGGGATGCTGCCCCGGGGCGGCAGCGAGATCGAAGCGGAGAAGCTCAAAGAGGTATGTATGTATTGTAGGTAATTAAGTTTTCCGAGAGAGCACGGGGTTGCAGCACCGAGGAGCGGATTGCAATACGATGTGCGGTTAGCGCAATGGCTGATGGTACAACAGCAGTAGTGTCATGAGCGAGATATTGCAGCAGCCACGTAGGAGACGGCCGGCTTCTTAAGTGTTTTCCTCTTGCATGTCTTGATATTCCCGCTGCTCCACGGATCGGCAGCCGTGCTCGCACGCAAGTAACTCGCGAGCGGGCGCGCATGAGAGGCAAAAACAAGACAGAACGTCGCACCACCCGCCACCGGCGGCCTCCCTGTTGCTCCTCCGCCTCTCTCCTTTTACGCTACCAGCGTTATTATGCTTGCTTTTCACCCCCGCCCCCCCTATAACGTAAAGAGCCAACGGAACCAATTCAATGAAACATGTGTTGTGTGCGTCCGGCTGGCTGGCCCTACATGAGTCCGAACCCGACTCATGACCACAGCAGTAAAGTCGTTTTTGAACCGGTGCCGGCATTTTGTGAACTCTAATAACTCTCGTTTGTAACACGGGCGGTGTCTGTGTGTCCTGGCATATGTGTGATGTGCATGCACACAAAGGCTGTGGCATTGGCACACATGCATATGCATACGTCACCACGACTCAATGTAAGCATGGTTTCGTGCGCGTATCCTGCTGCTGCTGCTGCTGTGGTTTCACACACGTGTCCCACCGGCACGTGCACAAGAAACAGATTCCCCACATCCAGTGCGCGTGTTACCATTTATGAGGAAAGATCGTGCCAATTTTTCCGCGTACATAAAAGCGTTTTTCGGCCACCGTCATCCTTGGACAGGAGGGCGGGGTGATGTCACTCGACCACCAGTCTATGGAGAATATCTCGAGAACTCAGGATTCACACGCATTATTATCAGCACACCGGCGATACGCTGAGGTTGGAAATGCGTGGATCGAGCATTCTTGCTGGTGCTAGTCTTTCATGGGAACACTTTCGGTTTCGATCTCCTGGGATTATCATATTATACATACTGCAGCGTAAACTTGTGAAATCTCGCTGTTTATTTGTATCCCCCGTAGACTATTTATTGCACTTTGAAAGAGAAAGATACTGCGTAGCGCTAGGTGATGTGGTAGAAACAGAGGGGAGTATTCAATCATGTTTGTAAGATGGGTTTCCACGTGCACGGCGGAGATGGCGTTTTGTTGCCGGTACAGCGCTTCGCCGTCGGCATTTGGCGACACGGTTGAAAAGGGGCACCGCAGGAGCACGCTCCTGTCTTCCCCAGCAAAACACAAGGCACATGGGGGGCTTTATGGTACAATGGAAGCAACGCATCCGCTGCTGCTGCTGCTGCTGCTGCTGCTGTTCCTCCAGTCCTCAGCACAGCTGAGAGAGACACAGCACTACATAGCAACAAGTAGCGAACAGAGCAGCTAGCCGCAGCGTAAAGAAGAAACAACACCGTAAGAGTTCGGAATGACGTTAGCCAACGCACAACAAGAGAGAGAGGCTGGCAGTCTCTACTGCAGTGGCAAGGCACGTAGCTTCCGGCGGGTGTAACTGGTTGTTTGTGGTTGCCGTGTGGAAGGACTGCACAGAGTGAAGAGATGCGTTCTTCGCCGTTGGGACTTGCGGGGGCGTTGTGCGTCAGTTGTGAGGGGGGTGGTTGCACTGCGCACATCACAAGCGCGGATCTCATGGCAGCACCGCCTCTCTCTGCACGCTTGCTGCGCCAATCACCGCTATTGTCGTGCTGCCTATCCTTGCTTTTTCGCCGTGGGTGTGCTTGCTTCGTCAAGAAAAAGGGTGCGGAGGGGTCAACAAAGCAAGTATTTAACCCCTCCCCCCCCCCCCCTAATTGATCCTTGTAAAACGTAGCCTGGACCGGCGAAAACCGAGCATAGCGCTCCTGTAGGGATGCGAGGCCAATGGTCTAACGGCTACGGACCGGCGTATATACGCCAATGTTGGCGACTTGTTTCTCAGTTTTACAGCTCTTTTGTTGTAGTTGGAGGCAGGCACGAAACCAAAGCAACTTTTGGTAGGTTTTCCAGCCCTCAGGCTACGCCACGGCGCTAGGCGTAACTAGGCCTACCCACCCCCTTAAAACCCTAACCATTTCCCACACTCGCACCCCAAAGCTTGGTTGGTGTGCAGTGGGTAGTCCTGGGTCGCTGTGTGCCGAGCTGCTGGAGCTCGCTTCTCGCGCGCCGACGTTGGCGTACATACACCGCGCGAACGATTACGGCATGCGTTTACATGAGTTCACCGCCCCCCCCCCCCCCCCCCCCTCAA